GGGTACATGGAGCCGGTTGGAGCGTACCAAAAAATTCACATCTGACTAACGTGTCTAACTTTCTATCGTGAGCGTTCTCAGAGATATCTGCAGTGATCAGATTAGAGGTTGTTCGATTTCGTCTCGAAGACTTCCGCGAAATTATAGTTCTGAAACTGTCTAATCGCCGCAGGAGTCCTCGGGGCCCGAAAGCAGAGTTTCCATTCTCAGAGAACTTCCTATATCTGGTTGTGAAAAATACTCATCCTTGCACCTGTCAGCATGGTGTTGTATTGTGTACTTCCGGCGAGTCGGCAATTTTCCTGGAATGGTCAAGTGTGCCATTTCAACGCTAAACCGGGTCTCTATGTGGTCAGCGGCTAGTCGGCAGCATCCGACTACTTTTCGGCGGGGAAACATGGATCATCTCCTGACTTTGAGCAACTAGAAGTTCAACTGCCCCTTGCAGGGCTATCCGTTACTAGTAAGCATACAGATTATCTTCTGTAACTGCCTGGAAGTGTGGAACTTACACCTCAAGACACGAGGAGGATTGTCTCCATACTGATATCGTGAGCTTATACGACGCGGGCGGAACTTTGGTATGGCTATGAAATAATCAAATAGTTATAAAAGCGATGACCTACCTACTCCATGGGTCACAATCTCAACTCAGACAGACTCTACCAAGTCAAGGCTTCCAGATAATCCATCTATCTTCCATTATTATCACTTCAGAATGTTCTTTCTGCCAATTCTCGCAACTCTTCTGGGCAGCGCCATTGCTCACCCTGTGGTTAGCAATGTTACAACTCTGGAGGTTCGTGAGGTGGGCATGAGCCCTGTCTCTCCTCTGACTGCCCGTGCAGAGTGCTCGACTCTCTCAACTGTCATTGAGCAGATCGGCACCAGCAGCGAGGTCGCCGTGTATGCCACCACCGGTGGCCTCACTGCCCTGTACGTTTGCAGACGTATCAACGGGCGTGAATGCGACACTCTTGCCAGCGCCATCGCCGCCGGTGTTGCAAGCATCTTCCTGATCCTGCAGAGATCTGGGGCCATCTCCGCCCGCGATAGCAGTACCGAGTCCCTCGTCGACTTCCTCACCCGGGAGCTTGCCGCCGATGGCTCTACTTTCGAGTCAATCACCGACGCTACCCCCCACCTGCTCGCTCGCTACGACTCTGACGAGCGTACCCCTCAGTCTGTCGCCAGCGTTCATGGTCTCAACTTCCTCAACACCACTCTGAACCTAGACGTCTACGACTTTGGCGACGGTGAGGGTCACATTTACCTTCCTTTCGATGAGGAGCAGGAGCCTATCACCAAGCGCATGGAGAAGCGTGCCTCTGCCCCTGGCTTCAAGATCGCTTACACCACCCGTCTCCAATCCAAGCTCACTCGCGCCCATCAAATTGAGATTTCCCAGCGACTTGCCACCTACTGGAACACCCGTGCCAGCTGCTGCAGCCTTCACGATCTCATTGGCTTCGTCAAGACTGACCACACTGCCAACTTTTACTATCGAATCATCCCTGAGACTGTCAACTTTGGCCTCAACTACGAATCTGTTGACATTTGTGGTGGCATGGCAGGCTACTTGTAAGCGAAAACGGCTCACGTTCTGTTCCAACATTTTTTGTTGGAGGGGGTAGATTGCCCTGAAAGATGACGACTGGTGGACTTTTCACTAGATGTACGAAACTTGGGATACAATACTTGGCGGAACTTTGGTTATTATAGTTGACAGTGGCAAAGACTCAACTATAACAAGATACTGTCAAATCTCGCAATACGATGTCCTGAGACCGTAAAACGATGTATTTTCATCTGAGAAGAAAAAAATTTGAATAGTTTAGTCGCTGACACTTAAAGACTTGAAATTGCCATAGATGTAATCACATATTAAAGTAACCAGAGACTAGGTCTATTGCTGTGTATATCCACCTGTGAACGGTTTCTCAATAGAGCAGCACTTTGAGAAAGGCTGGGTACGGATGTATTAATTCTATTTATCAGTTCACGGTGTAAAAGGCCCGCAACATTTTGCAACAATCCTTCTTATTTACAGTTGTGTACCTGACACAAGAATTACATACAAAACAGTATTATGATGATGTATAGCGAGCGACACCTGCCTGCAACTCCAATTATGTGGCTGGGTACGTCTTCTCAACTACCACCCCGCATGGGTAGTTGTCCTTTCCAACCTGACTTCCAGCAATGTTCATCAGTGTATTCCACAGACTCGTGCATACAGGGAGGGAAAAGAAACCGGGTGTCTGGACGCCCCCTGTCCACATGAGCTGATCCACGCCTCCGGCACTGTCGTCCAGGGAGACGGTGTAGCCATTCCGGTTCCCGTTGTTCAGATAGCCGCCGTATGAGCTGATAACAATGTCTTCCAAGGTAATACCACCCCAATTCTTGCCGTCGAGCACGTCGTGGGTGGCACCCGCCATCAGCTGAAAGGGCGGGTCAGAGTCTGGGAGACCAGGCGTATCGGCTTGCACGTCGACTCGGTAGGTCCCGACAGTCAGGACGTAAAACTGATTGCCATTCCAGCATACACCAGCTTTATCATGTGTCTCTTGCGTCATGTAGGGGTTCAGAGTATTGGGCATGGTGCTCGAACACGCGTCACCGGTCTTCCTATAGGTCAATATCTGTTAGCCATGCTGTTTGTTTGACCTGTGCGGAACCAGCGATGTGGCAAACGATGCTTTAGTGTAGTATCAACTTACAGCACAAAAGGCGTGTAAGCAGCAGGCGCTACTTGCCACGCAATGGGAATCATCTGTCCGAACATGATGGTCTCGACCACATTCACCATGCCGGAGAGATTAATGTCGACCGGCAGCATGTTCATCATGCCGTCTCTGATGAAAGACTCAAGCATGCCTATGGTGGTGCTATTCGACCCGGAGAAGATCTCGGACAAGTAGTCCTCTTGCGTCTTCTTCCATACATCGAACAAAGCGCCCATCGCAGAGGTCAAATCGTTTTGCACGCTCGCAGAGTCTTTGGCACTGTCTCGCGACAATTAGTTGACTGACCTTGACAAGTACGCATGACACAGAACTTACGATTTCGTGTTGTCTTTGCCTAAAGCAAATGAGGCGGATATAGCGCTGTTGAAAGTGTCTTTAGCGAACCCGAAATTGTTGCCCGCAAATATCGCGGCATCCTTGATGACTTTCAAAGATAAGATTAGCTCATTGTTCACAACAGTAGTTCAGCTAGTCATACCGATATTCCACAAGCCAGCTGATGCCATGCCGATGCCAAATGCCATCACATCCATTATAGTCTTAATTAGAGTCGACTGATCATCTGCCTTCAGCTGAGGTGCGAACGTAGATGTGAAATCTCCCATGGCGGCAGATATGCTCAGCTGCGCATCTTGGAGCGCCTCGTGGTATTTTTGATACACCTTGCCATCAAAGTGTTAGCCGACTCGATCGTCCAAGATCAGGCTTTTGGGTGCGTCTTACATCGTGTAGTTTGGAAAAGGAGTTGAGGAGAAGGAATCTGTGCACATTGTCAGGTCAGAACATTCTCAGGAAGACTTCCAGTCCGAATTGATGCAGACTGGACTTACCCTGCTGGGTGCTTTGTATCAGCACACTGAACTGTTGTTGAGCATGGTGTGTTGACAGGATCTTGGCAATCCCAACCTTCCGGTCCGCCGTAAAAGTCGCTGATAAAAGCCGGAAACTTGAGCTGGGCTGATGTTGTTCCTGGTTTGTAGGCTTGCCATGCAGCAACAGCTTCTTTCCACGAAGTATTTGTGTCAGCTGATGCCCACCGGACATTAGCCAGAACCTTTGCGTCGGTGATGTTGGCGTCGGAGCATGTAGTTTGCTCCCATTTATCAGTACGTGTCCAAAGAGTGGTAGGGATGGCATGAGCGTTAGACGCCAGAAGAAGGAAGGCTAAGTTGCGCATCGTAGTGTTTGATGTGATAGTGAATGTGGCGATGCTGTAAAACCAAGAGTTCTTGTTGCGTTCCTGGCGAGTCTAGATAGTAATAGACTTGATGATGACAAGAGTTGATTGACCCCTTTGTGGTTCCGCAAAAAGGCTCGACCAACTCTGAGTCGTGAAGTACCAAGGCGCTTCAATAATTGTAGGCAGAAAATCCTCCCACGTGTAAGCTGGCTTGCACGGTATTGGTGTCGCCTGGGGACAATAATGGGCCAGGCGAACCTGTGGAGGATTTCGAGATTCCCATGGTGACACTTTGATCACTTGAAGATCAGTGAGAATCATTTGGAAATATGATTTGGGACGAAACAAGCTTTTAATATATCAGAGTTACTCACCTTACCTAGCAAGCGCGCAGCACGTTTTCTGAACTGAGTCATTGCCGCAAATGAGCGCAAGAGGATTTTCAAGCACGTGGGCCCGTAAGTGGTCAACGTAACAAAGATTATGGGCAAACAGCAAGTTTTCTGCCCTTTGCTCTCATTATAGTACGGAATGTCGGCATGGCTGGCCCCAATGGCCCCGGTGCTATTTTTCTTCGCGAATCACATAGCGCGTTTGTATGGAACTTTTAGCACCGCGAGTATCCAGTCGTCATGCCAGGCTTTCCGATATCTGATGTATCAATAAGCAGGAGTCTTAGCTTTCCAAGTCGAAATCATCTCCTATTTTCTATTATCTCGTCGACTGACTACAAGACTTCCTGCTTGAAGACAAACAACAGAGTTTCTAAGCAACGGCTTAGAGATATCTTTCAGAACTTGAACTTGTGCATCTCCCTTTTTAAAGCAGCCTCGGGTGTAAGAGCCAATAGTTGTCGCTCACGATGGCCCTCAAACAGTAAGTACTTCAATCCCCAGCTCCACGTCACCACTGGACTGACAGTAGCTAGGCTCTCCGTCTTCTTTTTTTGCCTATTTTACGGGCAATTTGTTATAGCTTCAGGTTGCAATCAGATACACTGTCAGGTTTCTGTATGCGCCCCGAATGCAGACGAGGCGTATAACGTGGCGAGCCTTGGTCTCGTTGCAATCATGGGACCTGACTGCGCAAGCTGGCAACCAAATTCGCCCGTGAGCGGAGGCCAAGGTGCGTGCGCAAATGGCCTTCAGACGTTCACTGGTGCCTTTGATATCTGGCGCGGCTGGAACGCGATGGGCGGCGACTACTCTGCTACTTTTGCGCAATGGGGTAACTTTTTGGGCGCTACTTGCACTGGCGGCAAGACTGTCTCATGCGATCCAAAGTCAGGACAGTATCCTAATCCTGTCACTGGGAAGTGTCAAACTCGGCAATGGTGAGTTATAAACAGAGGAGATTGCGAGGATCTTCGGTTTGGTCGAGCTAACAAGGCGGCAGTGTTATCGACAAAAGTTGTTAGACACAGGACCCGTACCGAGTTCGAGATACCATGTACCCCAGATTGCTGAATATGAGTTCTTTCACTTGAGCTCTCGGTGGTCAAGACGTGTAAAGATACAAATTTCCGGATACCATCTGGCACGTTTCAATAGCGCGTTGTTGAATGTTGAGTTGACAGCTTGAAAAATTCCAATAACTGAGTGTAGTTCCGGCTTCTCGATGAGCAAGTCTCCAAATATCTGGTCCCTTTCTCGTTGAAAATCACGTGTGTTTGTGACTCCAATGACTCGAAGTCTCTTCCTGATGGTGATTATGACAACATACAGGTGCACATATGGGCATTGATCTGATCAGGGCTCGGGAAATTCCTGCCCAGCTATGATTCATCCATGGTACGTAAGCTAAGTAAGCATAGCGCTCCCCTCTTGCCACTTTAAGCGTCTATGCTACTTCGGACGCCTTGCCCTCCTGCTTCTAGACTGTGATCTCCATCCGTACTTTAGATCGGAACCTCTACCCCATTTTTACAACTTCCATACCTTGAGCTCTCCCGTAAAAGTCACCCAGTCTGCGTTGGGGTACTTACATCCTTTACATCAGTTGCGTCGAAACAATGGGTTCGCCGACTATCGAATGGTTCGGTCAGTCTATGACATAGCAACACTCTACTGAGTCAATAAGAGCACATGAACTGATTCCAGTGACGGCAAACTAGGCGCCACGACCTTTCGTCTGCGAGCCAACGGTCTGGTCTTGTTTCTAGATACATGGCTGGAGAGACCCTCTGTGTTGCCAAAGCATCTTGATATTGATGATGTTACCGAAGCAGATTATATTTTCATATCTCATGCTCATTTCGATCAGTAGGTTCTTTACACTCTTTCTGGGGCATGTTCTTGAAGACTAAACAGTACTCATAGCCTGCCTGGTGCGGATAAGATAGCAAAGAAGACCGGCGCTGTGGTTATCGCCAACGGCGAGGCGATTACTCTTCTCCGCGATGCGGGCGTCCACGAATCTCAACTCTTCCCCGTCGCGGGCGGAGAGCGTATTCCATTATTTACCAAGGACGACCGTGAGGCTGCGGTGGACGGCAAGATACCTATCGCTGATGGGCCGCCCGGAATGCCAGCTAGACCGAGTCACTCTCGAGCTGTCATGTCTGTTCACGTTTGGCCTTCTCTACATGCTCTAATGCCGGGAAGTGGACACCATGATATTCCAGAGGAGATTGACACCGGAACAGTCTACAAAGGAGAGGCTACACCGTATACTTGTAGCCTTGACATCACAATGGGGATGAAATACGGCCTCTTGCGCATGAATGAAAACATGCCGCCAGAACGGATGGACGACGGAATGAAATCCTTTGCAGAATACATCAGCGACAGGAAGAACAACGTGTTCTCACACTACGATGGCGGTCAACTAGCCTACAACTTCATTATCGGGCCCGGACAGACTGTATTCTGGAACGGACATTTGGGTGGCTATGAGGGCATCATCAAGAGCATTGAGCCAACCCCAGATGTGGCGATCCTCACCATCGCGGGGCGAGCCAATCTGAACGGCCGACCTTACAATGGATCTGCTGCCCAGTTCGCGACGAACCAGGTCCGGTGGCTGTCTCAACCCAAGAAAGTGATCTGGGCTCTCCATGATGAGGGGTAAGTTTCATCTTTCGGAACAGGTGGGGGAGGCAGCCATGGAGTATGTACGTTCTAAGTGACTGACATCTTTGGGCGACGGAATCATAGTGCGATCAAGCCGTATCGAGTAAATACCGCCGCCGCAACTGCCATGGTCCATGCTCAGACCTCATCAACAGTGGAAGAGCTCGATTTCGGTCTCGCAAAGCCACTTTTCTAAACTAACCTGATGGTCGAACGTTGGAATCGGTTAGGCCAACTAGCAAGTTTCTAGGCGAAGAAGTCCATTTTGGTTCTGTTTGGCAACTCAATAGGAACGGGCCAACCATTGTGGTTTGGTTTTGCCCTGTGACATGTAACCTTATTCAAGCAGCCCATCAACGGAGAGCTGTGGGCACCGAACACCGAGCCAGTCGGAAGGCGGCCACGAACCCCTTCACGGACCCGTGTGGAGTTGGCATGACACCCGACGGTGGGGGAGGGGGACTTGCTTTAGCGGCATGAGACATCACAATGAACTTGGCCGTCAACGATCTTCTTTTCTCAGTGAACATGTTATCAAGTAGACAAGCCGTACGCAATGCCGTGATCGTTTACCGAAACTCAACTCACGTGCAAGAGGTTCTACTCACAAGTTGCCGACATCAAATTGTCAGAGGACAGGGCAAGTGGACGCTTACCTTGGAGTGCTTCAAGATGAGATAGTCCACGAAAGGGCCACCATTACAGCCTTCCAGTGTTGAAACATTTTGTCAATTGACAACCAATTACTTCTCATCATGGCTGCGCCCTTCAAAGTTATTATCGCAGGTGGCGGTCTCGCTGGCTCACTCCTCGCAAACGGTCTCGTCAACCACGGCGTTAACGTGACCGTCTACGAACGTGACGCTGAAGATGCCAAAAGAGAGGGATTCCAGATACGATTGGGCGACAGCGCCATGACAGGTTTCAATGCCTGTCTGAAACCGGCAGACATTGCGGCTATCAAGTCGCAATTCAGTCAAATGTCTTCCACAGGTCTTACCGCACCGACGTTGATGAATACGAGATTCCAGACTGTGCTTGACTTGGGCAAACTTCCATCATATAGTGCGTCTTCCGCTATCAATCGCGTCGTGCTTCGGGACATCCTAGTTGCTCCCTTGCAGGAGAGGGGCATCATCCGGTTCGGAAAAGCATTTGAGGGGTATGAAGTTTTCCAAAGCAACGATGGGCAAGAAAATGTGAGGGTTCATTTCGCCGACGGCACTACTGATACATGCGATATTCTTGTTGGAGCAGACGGAAGCGGGTCAAGGGTAAGATTCTGCAAAATTGGAAATAGTCGTCCTAGAGACTTGGACGATTTGCTGATGAGGGCATCTACAGATCAACAAGCAAGTGGGAGCTCGGAATATTGTGTCAATTGACAGCCATGCCATGATTCTCAGTAAAGGCCCTCTGCCCGAGGATTGGACGGAGAAGCTACCTGAGCGTTTGACTGAAAGTCCGCTCATGGTATTTGCCGGTGGTGTGTCCATGTTCTACGCGTGTAAGTCAAATCTAATCGATTTTATTGTCAAGGTACAACAAGATATACGCCCAAAGCTGACATTCTAGCTCTTAGTGTTCCTACCCGCTGCAGACGAGGCGACCCAGAAAGCCGGAAATGGCGCTAGATATAACACAAGGGATGCCTCCTATTACTGGGGCGTTTTGATTCCCAAGGAGAAAATGCCGACCGATGACTGGAACAAGGTGGAAGATCCCTTGGGGATATGTCTCGATGCAACCCGAGACTGGGCACCCGAATAGTGAGCCAACAGCATGTTGCTCACCTGGCTATCCCTGACTCATTAGTTTGTAGTCGAACGATGTTGACGACAGGTTTCGACGGCAAGAGCAGAGACCTCGTTACTGTAGCACGCATGCGAGCAAGCAACAGACTTGCGAAAACGTGGCGGAACAATGTCAATCGAGCAACTGGCGACGAGGGACACCCTCGAGTCTGGCTGATTGGGGACGCGATGCATGCAATGCAGCCTAATAGGTTCGTTGGACTCTATTACAGACAGGCCACCCGTTGTACTGACACGACGTGCCATGCTAGGGGGATGGGAGGCAATCAAGCTTTTCATGATTGCGCCGACGCACTGTCTCACATACTCGCCCTCAAAGGAAAGGCTGATTCTGGTGTCCAACCATCGACACAAGATATCAGTGTGGCATGCAGTCAGTATGAGCGTAGAGTCATCGACCGAGCGTTTCAATGGGTCCGCAAGAGCGGAGGAACCAGTGTGCCTGTGAGTCCACTAACTTTGAGCCAAGCGTTTTGTCTGAGAGATTTGACTAACGATTGGTCAAGATGATAAACTTAGATGGATGGCTTGGGTCTTTGGTCTGGATGCTTGGCTCGCTTTTGGTGTCGGCATACATCTTTATGGCTCGAGTCTTGAAGTCCGGGGCGAGACAATGAGGAGGTCGTGAATTGAGCTCGCAGCTACACGTGTAATTTCTATAACATTGAGACACCGATCGAAGGTACTGCCTTGAAGCGATGAATTAAACGGTCGCGTTCGGATCCCAATCAGTTGCCAATGATCTCTCCTTTCATGCAGACAACATTGCCCTTTTCGATGAGCAACTGGTTCCTCTCCTCATTCTCCACAGCAGCTGTTCGAAGCGTGTACTTGTCGCCGGCGTAGAGAGGAGACATAGCTCGATAGGTAACCTGCCGTGCTTCCCTGCCGTCCTTGCCGTACACGTCTCTCCAATAATCCAGCATGTTAATCAGATTCAAAGGCCCATGAACCACAACCTCGGGATGGCGCTCGATGTCCTTCGTCCAGGGCTCGTTGTAGTGGATCATATGGCCATTGAAGGTCAGGGCAGAAAACCTGAAGAGGCCAACAGGTGACCATCTGAAGTGACGAACTATGCTACCTTCTGCATTAGGTTGGTCGGTGATGGTAGAAGGTCCGAAAGCAGGTGGTCTTTCACTACGCGGTGGTGCTGTTTTCGCGGCCAGTGGCACGTCAACTTCTGGCCGAAATATCCACGATCTGAGCATACATTAGTCTCGCTACCTCTGCATGGAAATGCAATGTCCAGGACTGACCTCTGATCTTTGACAACTAGGCCGTCGCGCCCATAAAACTCCTTCTCGACATCTACCAAAACCATCTCATCTCCGCTTTTGCTTTTCTTTGGCGTCGCTCCGACAAGTCTCGTCCGCTCTTCAACTACCTCTCCAACCTTGAGAGAGGTTCCCTCAACAAATTGCATCTTCCCTCCAGCCCACATCCGCCGCGTAAACGGTGCCGGCGCGTTGAAAGTCTTATCCGTGCCGTCCATTCCGAGCTCGCTCTCGACGCCCGTGGGGGTGAAGTAAACGAGATGGTAGCCGGGGGGCAGGGGCGTGCCTTGAGCGGGTGCTTCTGAAGAAACATCAACGCCAGGGTGCAGCTCTTTCCGGTTGAGGGTCAAGCTAAGGCGTTGAAGTTGATTCGAGTCGAGTAATTGCTTGCGGACGACATCCTTGCCAGCAAATGTGTCGAGAAGCTTAGAGGCTGCGTCTGTTGCATTGGTTGCGATGGATCGCTGTGAACGAGCGGTGCATTGACGCAGGGCAGGTCGTACTTGATGAACAAGGGACACCATTGTAAACGCAGTGAGTTGAGACTTGGGGGATCTTTGGTGTGCTCGCAGGCAGCTGGAGCTTTTGTTTGTTAGATGTTTTCAACACGTGCCTTTTGTCGAAGACTCTGAGATTCAAGTATTACATCGAGCTGGTGACTAAAGAGCTTCGGAATGTTAAGGCCGATGCAGTTGCTGGCCAGAAGAACCCAAGCCTTCTGCTTCGCCGCATGAGGAATGGTCCGAGCAGGCGTCGGTCAGTGGGGTTGCCGCGCCGCCCGGCTATATGCTTTCGGCTTCTTGAAGTTCGACTGTGACAAGCCGGACAGGGACTGTGCTCGGCAGAAGAAGCCGAAATGATGCTGAGTGAGAATTTAGCCTGTCCTTTCCACGGCGACTTAGGCCGGGCTTCAAGGGATCTTCTTCCACTGGCGTATTCACCTCCCGTTACGGGCCTAAGACTTCAAAGAGAGACTGCTGGTTTCTCTGTCGTCTTTACAAGCAACGCTGCAGGAAGTTCAGCCCCTCTACCTGCATTGGCCCGTTGGCGTAAAGTTGAGGATCCAGGAATAGCCCGAGATCTTCTAGCGCATCTTCGCCTTCCCAATTTGTGCGCATGAGGCTGAAGTATTGATCTTCCATTGCGTCGGGTCTGGCTTGCTGAAGAGCATCTTGTAGTAGAGTGACAGTTGGGCTCGTGCCTGTGTCGTTGAACGGCTCGAGGCCCGTGATAGAGCCGGGTAGTGCGCTGGACGATGCAGATTCAGTGCTGTCGCCGTTAAGTCTCTTCGCTATTGATTCGTCGAGGTATTGCAGGAAGAGATCAAGCACATTGTTGTTGATACGCCAGTACTTTTGAATTTCTTTGAGGCCAAGAAGACACATCTGGGCTCTATGTTCGGCTAATCGGCGACTGATGCCATCCGCAGACTTGATATCAATTGCATGTATGCAAAAAGCGGCAAAGAGGCTAGTAAGTCTACAAGAGTCAGTCGCGGCATCAAACTGTTCGTGGCGTTGGGGTTCTCACAGGTGCATTTGGCCGTATTGCAAGGTCTTTTGTGCGAGCATATCTTCGGCGATGCGACTGATGCGACAGGCGGCGGCGAGAGCTGCGCTCTTATCCTCCTGGTCTCTATTCCGCAGCCATCCGTTTCGGTGCACTAGGATACGGAGATGGCTAAGTTGGACACATGTTAGTCATTATCATGGAACGACACGTATCCAGTACAGCACTTGAAAGACTGGGTTCAACTTACTTGTAGGCAAGGTGGATTAGGCAGGTCAAGACTGAAGACTGCCCATCATCAGGGCCTCTACGCATCTCATCTGGTAGACTTTGCTTCCAATCCTCGAGCTGCTGCTTCAATTCACGAACTTCGGTCGGTGCTGGCGGTCCCCGACCAGGCGCAAAGTGGGTGTCCATGATTCTTCCGACTATAGATGGGTTAGTCAAGCTGTTAAGCAGACTTGGTTTCAGCAAGAAGAAGTGAGACTCACGAAGACGAGCAATGTCAATCATCTTGATAGCATAATGAATGTGCTCCGATTTTGGTGCACCGAACCCAGTTGCTCGCTGTTCGTCAGCATCATCCTCCAGATCAGCCGGTGTCAGCGGCTCAATGTCACAATCTTCATCGCGGATGCGACAGGGCAGTCCTAGTGACACAGCCGCTTGCCGTTCGCGGACCTGTCATATGTGAGTACCGAGCTACAGGACGCACGACGAGAGAAGAAGTCATGGTCAAGCAGGGACCAGAAACTCACGTAGATTGACCACCATACTCTGCGTCTCATCCGAGCGAAATGGGGATCCTTCGTGATGAATCGAGTTCTGTGCATAAATTCAGCCAAGCTCTTGGAAAAAAGTCTACATTACTCAGAAGGACTTACGAGCGATGAAGGCCATGAGTTTGCGCGAGGGTTAACACGGCCCCTAGCCAGTACCTCACGTCTCTCCAATCCGTCGGTCCACCCCTCCAGAAGCTGCATAGAAACAGTGACTGAATAAGAGTAAACTCATCTTTCTCCCAGTTGGCATGGAACAAAACACGCGCGCGAGAGTATGTCAGATTCTTTGCCTCGGACCGATCTTTGAACCCCATGCCAAGAATCGTTGCCTCGTCGCAGTACGTCGAACCGATGAAAAGCATTGCTTGCAACAAGAGCGGTGAAATATCCATCGTCACGAGCCGTCTGGCGATATCGGCACGGTCAAGAATGGGAAAGCAGGGGTGGAACCAAGCGAAATAAGCATGTAAAGCTGGAAGACAGCTCTGCATGTCGGGGAAGGTGAGTGCTCCCTCATCCCGAAGGTATCGCTCTGTCGCAGAGCTCATGGAAGGCACACTGGTAGGTGAAGTAGCCAGGTCGTGAGCTTGTGGCGTCTGCGGTAATGGAAAGGTAAGACGACCCTTCAACACCCCATCACTAGTCGCAGCCTCATTGCCGGGTCCTGATGCTCCAGGAACAAGAGTGATGAAATTCGACTCTCCAAAGAACCGGCTGCCGCCCGTAGTCCCGGAGGAATGGCACGAAGCAGGTGTATCGGCGTGAAAAGGAGTTTGCGATATTCCAGAAGAGCTCGGAAGTCCATGCGACGGAGACACAGTACTCATAGAAGCAAGCGTCGCGGCGACATCAGCGGTGAGCGCGGACGACACGGCCGGGGCAGCGGGCTCTGGGGTCGCTGATGCGGCCACTTCCGTCTGCTTCTGCCTCTTGGACTTCCGTAGATAACTAGACCGGCCAGGTCAGTATTTGCCGACTCGGAGATATCGGTGTGGGGAAGAACAGGAGAGACTCACCGGCCTCTTCGCGACGGGATGACTTCGCAAGTCGCCTGCGCTGTCTCGCAGTTCGAACAAGGATGGCGCTCAGTGACATTGCAGCGGATGCGTCGCGAGTTGCACTCCCTACACGCGTGCTTCGCGCGCGGTTTCTTCGAACCCTCTGTCGGCATTGTAGGCACTGGTGCTTGGCATGCCACAGTAGATACTATGAGCAGGACATCAGAACTCCTTTCAGACGTCCCTCGAATATCAGGAACCCAGGCGCAGAAAGGCGGTGCTCTGGGCCTGCGACGGGAACAACATGGATAATATCTTTGCGCAACCAGCCTCTCCGTACAGTGCCGGTTCAATTGCACTGTTTTTCCATGACCAACGCTTTGACGTCTCGGCTTCTTCTTCCGTGGACCTCCTCACCGAATGGGTCTCCTTGACCGATGTCTCCGATGTTGACCGAGCTCACCGACGACCAGGAGCACTACATATAAGAGGATAAATAATTGTGTAATTGGTCAATACGTCTTCATTCCCCAGTATCTACCAAACACTCAGTGCTTGAATTAGATGAAAATTCCTTCAGTAAACCTGGCGCACGAACTGAAGGTTCTGAGAAAGGAGAAGCGCCCCCTAAAATATTATGCAGGTCGCGGCCCCTGAGTGCTTCCCTTGTGGGGGGTAAAGATTCTATCATTTCATGTAATTATACTCTGATCTACTCTAATAGCTGCGCGGAAGTTGGAGGACCTTCTCGCTGATGTACGATAAAATCATCTCGCGAGATACAGGCGCAATCCTTGGGACAAAGATCTCGCGTAGATACCTCTCGACATCATACTCTGCGGCATAACCCATGCCTCCGTGAGTAAGCACCGCCCTTTCGCATGCCGTGAAAGCTGCTTCAGCAGCCATGTACTTTGCGCTGTTGGCCGCAACTCCAACCTGGTCTTGACGAATAGTAGAGTCTTCCTTGCTGGCATCGTAAAGCCGAGCGGCGTGATATGTCGCAAGCTTCGCCGCCTCTAGCTTCATGTAGGCGTCCGCCAGGGGATGCGCAATGGCCTGATTCTGCCCAATTGGCCTCTTGAATACAACGCGATCACGCGCGTACTCTGAGGCCTTTGTGAGCGCTGCGTAGCCTAGACCGAGAGCCTCGCCGGCGAGAAGACACCTTTCAGCGTTCATTCCGTGGAGAATGATTTTGAAACCCTGGCCTTCTTGACCAATGAGTGAGCTCGCGGGGATGTGGTAGTTGTCGAAGAATACTTCGTTGGCGTCGACAGCGCGGCCCCCCATCTTCTTGATCTTTCGCATGTCTAGGCCAGATTGTGACTTGTCAATATCGATGCAGAAGAGCGATAGACCCTCGCTCGGCTTCTTGCAGTCCTCGTAGGCTTTCGTGCGTGCAAGTAAAATCATCTTGGATGCTACTTGAGCGCATGTAATCCAGATTTTCTGGCCAGTGACGAGGTACGATCCATCGGTTTGCTTTTTTGCTGTTGTGGCCAAGCGCAAAGTATCAAGGCCAGAGTTTGGCTCTGTGACACCAAAACACGTACGCCACTCCCCGGAAATGATCTTGGGGATCGTACTCTCGAGCTGCTCCTGAGTTCCGAACTTAGCCAGCGGTTGTGTAGCATAGACGTTGGCATGAATGGACTGCGCACCAGCCATGCCGGCACCGGACTCGGTGATGGTCTGCATCATCATTGTCGCTTCAGAGATGCCTAGGCCAGAGCCGCCGAGGGACTCAGGCAAGGCAATGCCAAGCCAGCCGTCCTTTGCGAGAGCAGCGTGAAACTCTTTGGGGTCTTGCTCGTACTGATCGTGTTCTTGCCAATAGGTGTTGGGAAACTCTGAGCAGACTTGGCTGACTGCCTCTCGAACAGTCAATTGATTCTCGGTAAACCCCGTGGTTTCCATGATCCTCCTTGGTGAGGATGTTGAAAATGCTGCCAAGCCATGTCTTGAGGTTACCGGTGCCCGGCGAAGGCTTCCCGCGGTCTTGGTGGCTGGTCGCGCAATGCGCCAAAGATTTCGTGACAAAGAGGCTGACATGATGTTGATTGACGAAGATTGAGTGAGAAACTGCTGAACTCTGTGTGGTTGAAGAGAGCACGTATGATCAGCGCTCAAGGTATTATTATCTTCTCATCCACGCCGATTCATGACTAGCAAAACATGAAGGCAACTAAAGGCTAGCTTAGGTCCGGCAAATAGACCCGAAGCCCGGCTACTGTCTTCCAGGCGAGCTAGAAAATGACGACACTAAGAAGTGATCGACGCTTGGGCTGGGGTTGCATAAAGCCGACTTGGGTTGAAGAAACCGACGCTGCATGCACCAGCGCTACGTACGCTTTGGTTACCCCATGATCTACTTGCGCATCCCCAGGAATTCGAGCCGAGGCCAGTACGGAGTGATGATTGCATTCATGCCGTCGTATGGAAGTGCTAAAAAGCCGTTGAGTCTCCGTATCATATCATGATTGAAACTTCGAGATTGAAGCCAAGTTTCTGCCACCGGCAATCCCATTAGTTCACCAGGATTTCTAATCGCCGACTTCCACATCAACGTTCCTCTTTCGTGTACCCTTGTCTACCATGTCTTTACCCCGGGCTGTTTTCTCGGTATTAGCCTCTCGATTCGCGAACGGCACGACCTTGTCAAGGCCATTCACAACACCAAAGCAGAGTTCGCGATGTCTCGACTGCATCTCTTCAAAGACATCCCCCACACACACTAGATTGCAGCATCGACCTATGGCGACTTCTCCATCTCCTAGACTGAAGAGAGACCCACTGCCTTTGGAGGGTGTCACCGTCGTCAGCCTTGAACATGCCATTGCTGCGCCATTCTGCACCCGTCAGCTGGCGGACATGGGCGCTCGAGTCATCAAAATCGAGCGACCCGGAGTTGGCGATTTCGCCAGGGCCTACGACACTCGCGTCAACGGTATGGCCTCTCACTTTGTCTGGGCGAACCGCTCAAAGGAGAGTTTGGCTTTAGACCTGAAAAAACCAAGAGACTTTGAAATTCTGAAGAAGCTCCTCGCCAAATCAGACGTCTTGGTTCAAAACCTGGCACCTGGCGCCACTGAAAGATTAGGTCTTGGTTACAACACCCTGAAAGATACCCATCCGTCTCTGATTGTCTGTGATATCTCAGGATACGGTTCGGATGGGCCGTACAGAGACAAGAAAGCCTACGATCTTCTCGTACAGAGCGAAGCAGGCTTTCTTTCCGTTACAGGGAATGGCCCAGATCTAGCGAAAGCAGGCATTTCCATTGCTGACATTTCTGCCGGCATGTATGCCTACTCCAACATTCTCGCCGCAGTGATCAAGCGTGGCAAGACGGGCAAAGGCTCTCGGATAGATATTTCCATGCTCGAAAGCATGGTTGAGTGGATGAACTTCCCACTGTACTACACCTACAACGGGGCTCCCGGCCTCGCTCGGCCTGGAGCAGCTCACGCCTCCATATATCCCTATGGTCCTTTTGAGACAGGTGGCGGTGGTTCTGTCATGTTAGGGGTTCAGAACGAGAGGGAATGGGCTAATCTTTGCCGGGCTGTGCTTGGCGATGAAGCGTTGGCTAAAGACCCGCGGTTCGTGAGCAATACGCTTCGTGTGAAGAACCGAGATGAGTTGAAGGAAATTATTTCCAAGGCATTCGCAGAGATCTCGGCTGAGGAGGTTTTACAAAAGCTTGATTCTGCGTCTATTGCTAATGCCAATGTCAATGACATGCAAGGTGTCTGGGAACACCCACAACTGCGAGCGAGAGGGAGGTGGACCGATATCGAGACCCCAAGCGGCAAAATTCCTGCTCTTATCCCTCCTGGTTTTGCTTCGGTGGAGGCCTCAAGAATGGAGAGAGTACCGGAGCTGGGCGAGCATAATGATGCCATTTTTGAGGAACTAGGAGTAAAACCATGATAGGCTTGGAAGAATATGTTGCTGTGAACATCGATATTTCTACTAGACTCTGAACTGGATGATACGTTACATTATTCTCAGGAATTAGACAAAACCTGTTGATTTCCATCCGTCACTACTCTCAATCTGCCTACCCGTAGATATCGCCATTTGATTTACGGCTTCCCTGTTGTGGCCATCCGGCTGATCTGATGAATTGCCGTCGACAACGCTGTACGGTGCCAGGCAGTGTTCCCCAACCTGGACCCCGATAAGCAAGCTACTGGGCCTATAGTGGTTCATTTAGTGCCATAACGTAGAAATCCCTTCGGTTTCTCACTCTTTCGAGATGGCTATTCGTATGCCTGCCCTGGCTTTCCCCGCACATCAACCCCATGGGGTGGTGACGAAGTGCTCACCCATCGGATAAGCTTTGTGGGGGAGGTTTAGCGTCTCTGGTCATAATCGGGTGTGCGAGTGAGAGATGCCTAGGGTTCTCGGGAAGGATAAATGCCCCGAACGTGCTGCCCATGTTGCTGCTGGGACTGGACCGTCGAGCTTCATGTCTGAATAGCTAGCCTGCTCTCCTGAACATATCATCTTGAGAACTTTCGTTTGATCCGACTGGAAGCTGCCTAACAACTTTTACTTCCGTCTGCGGCTTGGATTGAGAGCCCAAGATGTTTTTCAAGTCCAAAGAAAGTGGGACAACCAGTGACCATGGTCCGGAGACGCATCATACCTTCGAGGATAGCAAGCCGGAAGAGAGCCATGTGGAGAGCATCCGTCATTCCCAGGTTCACTACGAAATAGACCCTACTTTAAGCAAACGCCTCGATCGCAAGTTTGACGTTCACATCATTCCTTGGCTTTTCGGCATTTGGTATGACTCTAACCTGGATTGGAACCCGTGCTATGTGAGAAGCTGACTGATTTTACCCAGGCTTTTCGCGTTTATCGATAGAAGCAACATTGGGAATGCCAAGATCGACGGCCTTTTGGAAGACCTCGATATGGGAACTGGCACAAAGTTCAATGTTGCATTGTTGGTCTTCTACATCCCGTACATCCTCGTCGATGTTCCGAGCAACTGGATCGTGAAGAAAGTCCGAGCCGGCGTCTATCTGCCAACTCTCATCACTTGCTGGGGCATCGTAAGCACGTTTCTTGGTTTCACAAAATCCTTCGCAGGTCTTGTGATCTGTCGATTGCTTCTTGGACTCTTCGAGGGCGGCCTACTTGGAGGTATCGTTGTGTACCTGGCAATGTTCTATCGTCGACATCAGATGCTGTATCGCATCGGCCTTTTTTACTGCGCAGCACCCTTATCTGGCGCTTTTGGAGGACTGCTAGCCACAGGTTTAGCAACGATACGACATGGTGGCTATAACCGGTGGCCTTGGATCTTCTTTGGTAAGTCTCATTCCAACCACGTTAGACCTGGTGGCGAAGTAGAACTCTAACGCCCAATAGTGGAGGGTGCAATCACAACCGTCTTCGGTGTGACCTGCTTCTTCTTTATGCCAAGCACGCCAGCGGATGCGAAGTTCCTCACAAAGGATGAACGTACACAGACAATGAGAAGATTAAGAGAAGATTCACATGGTGCTACTGATGTTGAAGACGTCAATGATGAGCACTTCAGCTGGCACTGGGTGAGGATGGCTGTGCTCGCGCCGCAGACATATTTTTGTACTCTGGCATGGATATTCCTTCTCATTCCCCTTTACGTATGTTCTATTCCCTACATTCGTTACATCATTAGACGTATATCAGTGATTAACATGTGTCATTCAACTGGCAGAGCTTCTCGCTCTTTCTACCATCGATCATCCAGGGCCTCGGATATCGCAGCACCACTCAGATCCAGCTTCTCACAGTTCCGCCCAACATCGCCGCTTTCCTTGTCGTGCTCGCCACGTCTGCTCTTTCGGATAAAATCAAGGCACGAGGTCCTATCATGGCTGTTGGAAGCATGGTAGCTTTGTGCGGGTATGTCATGATTCTCGCCTCAAAGTCCAGCAATGTTCGGTATGGGGGTACGTTTCTCATTGCTACGGGAGTCTTCCCTGGAAGTGCAATGATCATGGTGAGTCACAAAGCTCTTCGGGGCCTAAGTGGACACGCTGCTGACGAAGTAAGGGCTGGCTATCCAATAATCTAGCTCCTCACTACGTTCGTGCTACTGGAGTTGGGTTGTTGATTGGCCTAGCAAACACGTCTGCCTTTCCAGCTACGTTCATTTATTTGCAGAAGGATGCGTAAGTCGCCAAAAACGAGACTTCGTCGTTTGAATATAGCTTGACTAAAGAACGTCACAGTCCGGACTATGTTTTGGGCCACTCGGTCTGCGTAGGATCTTTGGTTCTTTGCTGTGCCACCGTATGCCTGCAGATGCTCTATTGTCGATGGGAAAACTCGAAACGGGAGCGGGGAGATCGAGATGAGCGACTGCACGGAAATAGGGTTCACCTTCTTGGACATCGACACCCTGCTTATCGGTACACCTTATAAGATGTAAACTGCTAGTATTGATCCAGGTCATTACAAGTGCTCCAAGTATCATGCTACTACCTGTTGCTGTATTGTAGAAGGGCCAGAAATCTTGAAAGCCTGGAACTAACTCTTGATACGAACGAGTATACATGATCGTTCAATCTCCTGTTCAGGTTTAGAATCTGATCCTCATTATGGCATTTGATCTAGTACTTTGCCGCTATACTAAGATGTGTTTTTAGATCTACTGAATGCCTCTAAATCGTCAATCAGGTATATGAGAACAAAGTTTAGCGTTAATCTGACTGGTAGTTCCCGGGAAACACTTGGATTCCCGCGTTGACTGACTACTCTCGCGCAAGCAATCCGGCAACTATTTGCGGGAAGCTCTCCAGGATAGATGCCTTCTCTGCTTTCCATCCAAGCTTGGCCATTCTTGACGCCTCAATACGCATGTTGATGCCGTACATGATGGCAATATGCATAGCCCAGGTATCGGGCGGGGGCGGCGGAGCATCGGGATCGTAGTCGCTGCCAGCGATACTGGCCCTCGCTGCCTCAGCCACGCTGACTGACTTAATCTCGGTGCTCTCAATGATCTTCTGATCCTTGAGTACAGGAGCAAGGTGCTTCATGAACTCCCCGAACGAGATATCTTCACTCGTGCCAAAGTAGTACGCCTCTGGACCCCAGATGGCGAAGGGTTCAGAGTCGGAGGTGCCATCAATGGCCTTTCCGACAAGGATAAGGAACATCTTTGCGAGATCCGAGACGTGGATCCAAGCGTGGGTGTTTTCTCCTTCAGCTATCTGCCAGCCGGACTTGAAAGCACGTGCCGTGAGTAGGAGGGCAGGCGTCGTGATCGGGGTTGGGTGCTCAAGGGAAGGACTCATGCCGCCAACGAAACCAGGCGACATGATGGCCACATTGACGTCTGTTGCCGCATCGCGCACAATCTTATCGGTAACAGCATGTGTGTGGGCTTCACCCTTGAACGCGCAGATGTCCCCAATGTCCGCAATATCGTCCCACCGACGGGCGTCTTTGGAGCCGGCGGGCTCATCCCAGATGAGAGAAGCTCCCGATGTGTGAATATAGTAAGGCTTGGTGCCATTGGCCGCGCCACGCGCTTTCAGACCGGTCAGAATCGCCTTGATGCCGTCGTCATGTGTGATGTCTGGGGCTGTGTTGATGACGATGTCGGCCGCCTCACTGCACTTTTCAAGAATATCAAAGTTTCCGGCGTCAGCGATGACCGTCTCAACCTGTGGGTAGGTTTTAACAAGGCGGGAAGCCTTGCTCTCATCCCGAACCAGGACTTTCACATTCGCTTCCGCATGTTTCCGGAGTAGCTGGTCCAGCACAGCACCACCGATATGGCCAGTGCCGCCGACACTACGATAGATTATAGATGAGCCGTACTGGTCCCACGAAAAATCAGATTTGATTGCTTTCACTCACAAGAAGATATGCACCATGGTGGTTACGTCTGGGACTGTGATGCTTGGAGAACCGAGCTGCGTTGATGTTCAAAACACCACGAAATTTTAGTCCTATAGAACAACGAGAAGCCCCTCATTGATAATGATAATCCTCCTAATATTGCGTACCAGCAGACCCCACTAGTGGACATTCTGTGGAGCGACATGCATCGACAGGTCACAAAATATTGAAATGATGGTCACATCCGGTGAATACTGCCACGTTGACGTGAAGAATACCGAAAATGGAATGCTCCTCCTGTCTTGGCTAGTAACTTAAGGCACCTGTATTCAACACTTCTGTTGCCGATCTTCAGACCTCTTGATGATGAATGAAATTGGTTTTTGCTCAACCCTCGACTTTTACCAGGAAGTTCTGCTGCTGATGCTACGTTACAGTCGCGGGACCCCGGCCGTCAACATTTTGCGACATCATTAGCCATGAGCATCTTTACCAGGAAACCCGTTCGTGTCTCGAGTCTCTACTTAGATCATTACCAGACGATTCTTTAGCATTGGTGGACATCCTTCGCTTGAAGGATCCGAGGATATGGCCAGCCTGGCCCCCAATTGGATGTCGAGGGTTATTTGCCTCCATCTTTCTCCACCACAGCACCAATCATCTTCAGAGTGAGGTCGACATGGGTCTCATTGATACAGGCCCTTCAAACACTAGTAGGAGAGGGGGAAAGGGTGGATCAATTGACCACACGGGACTACGGGAGAGCATGGATTTGTGTCCATTCACAGCCAATCTGCAGAAATTGGCCCATTGACACAGTTCACCCATGACATCAAGCTACTTGTCCATAAAATCGGGTCCATCCAGCAGCCCGGGTTATTCACGGTCACGGATGGCTCGGATGGCTCGATCAAACGGCAAAGACTGCCGGCGCTGTTGCTGGACATCGGAGAGTTGCTTACTGGAGGTAGTACGAATGCCTGCCCGTTTCTGAAGGGGCCTGCAGAACTTGGCAAGCTCAATAAATCTACGAATATTTAAAGCTAATCTTATCAAACACCTGAGTGGGGCGAGGGACTCATCTAGCAGAACACCTTGATTTAGTAAAGTGGCATAGAGACAGTATCAAGGCAGACATACCTCCCAGTAGGCAAAGTCTCAAGTTGCGAGATTATTCTATATGTTCTTGTTTGCGTTTCTGTTCCGAAGCGTGTGAGCAAGCTTAACCATGAGAAGCGGTAACTTTGACTTGCTTCTTTAACCAGATCCATCAAGCAAGCAGAGTAGGGTGTTCTGCGAGATTAGACCAGAACTCCATCTCAAAGTCCCAAAGCTGGTGATTAGAATAAGGCTCCCAAACTTCCAGAGTAGCAACGTTTGTCGATTCAACTTGTTCCGCAGATGGTCTTGCAGCGAGCAAAGAGTCAAGCATTGTCTGGATTGTCCCAGTTGCTCGGGTAAATAACGCGAAATTCGGTTCGCCGGCCTGAATCCAAGCTCCGGTCCTAGTCTCAGCAACCAAGACACTGAGGTCTTGGATCATCTTGGACCTCGAGTGCAGAAAAACATCTGAAGCAGCATTTTCCTTCAATAATGCTAGTGAAATTACTCCCGCGGCGGGGAGTCCGTATTGCGCAACTTTCCAGATGAGGCATGTCCCGGAGTTTACCAGCTGATCGCGTAGTAGAATGACCTCAACCACAATGGATAGCATTTCTATCGCAACCTTCAAGAGTTCGTCGTTGGGCTCGGAAATAGGCTGCTGTGAAACGAGCCCCAGAAGGAACAGGTTATGCAGATAGTCTAGCCTGATATGGGCTAGGAAGTCTCTTTCGAAAGGGCTTTGTTGACACTCTCGAAGGCTCGAACCGAGCCTGAAATGACCTGGCAAATCTTGCCACAGTGCTTCAACCTTTCCGCGGAAATCCCTAGTAAAATCAGTATCACCGAGTCATTTATGACTAAATCTTGAAAGCAAACCTGATGTTTTTCGTGACATCCGTCATATTCTTTCTCCTCAAGAGTTGAAGCACCTCTTCCTTCAGAAGTGCAAAACGCGCAACACATCGTGTATCGGCGTTGTAATTAATGGGCTCAAGATGTTCCATTTTCATGTCGTCAACTTCGTCTTCAATCCATCCATTGTGCACCTTGGGTATTTGGAACTGGCAGTAGTCCTTCACTATCCGCGGAGGTCGTCCAAGAAACACTGCCAAGCCCTTGTCGGCTGTGTAAATTCGACAAAAGCAAGCCTTTCGCAGCTCAATGATAAAAGAAGGGAGGTTCGGATTACACCTCTCAATCTTCTCATGGTAGCCTAGTGCGAAGAGCGAACTTGCAAGATCTCCAATTCGTCTCCATGAATGGTAGCCTGGGTGTGAGCAAGGTCAGCAGCAGGCTTCGACGGTTCAATCCGCGAACTCACTCTGATCACCATCTAGATGTGAATGAACGATGAAGTTTTCATATTGGAGGATCAACTGTAGATCATTAAGACAATCGAGGGAGAGGCTTGTCTCCAGACAATAGTCCCCGATGTAGGTTAGTGCCTGCATCAGTCTTCGCCGCTGCTCATTTGTTGTATAAAGGGGCGGAAAGTAGGGAGTGTCATAAGCCGCCCTGGCTGCAGCCACAAAGAAGATACCCAACGTCTCCCACCTCAAATTGGACCCAACAATCTGGGCCAGGAAGTCTTGCCGAGTTGAATGAGAACTCATGGCAAAAGGCCGCAGTGTGTTGGTCAACAGAGTTGCCACATATCCAGCGCTTGTAATTCCAGAGCTGGAGCCACCACTCTCTCCAGAAATATCAGTCGTCGGAGCAAGGACTTCTCTCCAATGTTCCAAGGACCATAAGCACTCAATAACGATAGGTCCAGCCAAAGGCAAGTTCACTCCCCTTTCGAGCCAAGAACGCACTAGAGGTGTGACTTTGGAGATGTCCATCTTCTCTAGACGCGACAGCGCATGCATCGCCTTGTCCATGACAACCTGGTTTCCAACTAGATCAATTGGCGATGCCAAACTGGGCTGTGGAGTCAAGTCTGCATCTGAAGCAGGCCCAAAACCATCGCCGGAGAAGACATGGTTGAAGATAGTAGAGTGGCTTGAGACACCGAGGAAGCCAGGGTTGGGATAGCGATATGGCTGCGTCGATGCTGTCGGGGTTCCTGTATTGGGTGACGAGGAATCAGTTGGAGACTGAGGTGTCGACGAGGTCGCCGTTGCAATGGTCTCTGTCGGCCCATTTGACATGAGGCTTCTGGGAGTAAGTGCGGGTTAGTCACCAACATCACCATTATATAAATGTTATTGCAGACTCACTCCGTCTCTTGGACTTGCGTTCTCGTTACTCTTCTCCGAAAGGGCCTAGATCTGTAAACGCAATGACTCCGCTGTCCACGGCCAGTGCACCGTGTGCAGGCAGGTCTTTCGTGACCGCATGCTAGCTTCGAACGCCGACAGGGCTCGCACGCAGCAAGTCTCACGTTCATCTTGTTTTTCATATCTGACTCGTATGTGCCATCATCAGATAATTGGAGGCTGTTTGTTACTCGTTGTGAATTGAATCCATCGGTTCAGCTCGGAGAGAAGTCTTTCGGCGAGCTGTGGTGTCCTTTGACTCCGACGATATTGTGGTTGAGTGTTCTTGATTGAGTTTGACACTCCGGACCCCACATCACTCCGATATCACGCCGTAGTCCCATTTCTCTTTCTCCCCCCCACCATCCTAGACTCTTAGGGCGCTCTTGACAGGAACATTCCCGATAAGGAGCAGCAGTTTGCGCGGATTAGTTTACAAAGAACGAGCAAAGGCGCGAATGTCATTACAGCTATCCACAAGTGAGACATCAATCGGCGCCAATCGTTGCTGATATCTAGGTTGTGACTCCATTAAATTTGCTCCTATCTCTATTTGACCCTCTCTCCGACGGCTCGGACGTGAGTCAAGGGCCATCGGAATGGTTTCAAACGCAGATTAGCAAATCATTGAAGGCCGTTATATAAGTAATGAATTTGGGTATCTCAGCAGCCATGGATCCTTCTAGCTCACTGAGTACAACACCATTGTGATTCAGTGCCAGCAACTTCACCTGATCAATCATGGGCGAATACATCAACTCCGACCATGCCTCCATCCCGGTTACTGTCACCGATGCCATGTTGAAGCCGGCTCGGCGCACGGTCCCGGCCAGCAAATGGGGCGTCGCAGCTCAATGTACCACCGAAGACTTCAAGACCAGAACAGACAAGCATAAGCCACTAGCCAAAGATTGGAGCCGTGAGTGCTTGCTTCTAGTTCAGAATATGTGACAGTAACAGCGAAGAGCTTTTGCGGTAGAGCTAACCTTGCCATACTTGCCAGACCGTTTGACTCGCGAATCGACAACGAGAACAGGATCTTCGCTAAAGGCAGCTTTCAAGCACCTACAGAACCCGGATGTTATCTCTCTTGGCGGCGGTATTCCACTCAGTGAATTTCTTCCTTTCGAGACACTCTCGTTCACGCCGTCATTCGTTCCAAGCAGCTCAAAGTCAAAGTCTGCATCAGACTCTGCAGTTGACGATGCGTGCTTCCGATCGACCAAAACAGACCTTTCCGAGGGCCGAAGCGTGTTCGATATCTCTGTAGCGCTAAACTATGGTCAAGGTAGCGGGTCTCCGCAGCTTCTACGATGGATCATTGAACACACCGAGATGGTTCACAACCCCCCTTATGCAGATTGGGGATGCACCATGACCATTGGGAACACTTCGGCGCTAGACATGGCGCTTCGCATGCTGGCCAAACCTGGTGACTATGTACTATCAGAGAAGTTCACGTACTCGACAGCAGTCGAAACTGCAAAGCCGATGGGTGTCAAGTTCCTTGGTGTCGACATGGATGGAGAAGGCTTGCTGCCCGAGAGCCTCCTTCAAGTCTTGGACACATGGAATCCAGCGGAGCACGAGAACGCAGCGAAGCCATTCCTATTATACCTCGTCCCAACAGGTCACAACCCCACCGGTGCTACTCAAAGTCTACAGCGTCGCAGAGATATCTACCGGGTGGCACAGCAGCACGATTTGGTCATTCTGGAAGACGATCCCTACTACTGGCTTCAGATGGACGCTTACAGCCCATCCGCGGAGATGACAACATCTTCCTCCACCCCTCAGTCGCCGGCAGACTTACTCAACGCGATCGTCCCAACATACCTCGGTATCGACATAGACGGGCGTGTCATGCGCATGGACTCTTTCAGCAAAGTCGTCAGCCCTGGATCTCGAATTGGTTGGATTACTGCTCCTCAAGCAGTAGTGGAGCGATACAAAACCCATGCAGACGTATCAACACAGGGACCTAGCGGATTCAGTCAACTCGCATTCTTCAAGCTTCTAGATGAGTTCTGGGGCCACGCCGGGTTCCTTGAGTGGATGCTACATATCCGTAGAGAGTATACTGAGCGTCGGGATTTCATGGTGCGAGTTTGCGAACAGCACTTGCCCCGAGAAATCGTCTCATGGGAGCCGGCACGGGCGGGCATGTTTGTGAGTAGTACATTACTTGGATGTAGAATGTTCTTTTACTAAACCCTTGCAGCAATGGCTAGGCGTGGACTGGCAAAAGCACCCCGATGCCTCGACGAAGTCTCCGAGTGAGATTGAAGAGGAGATATGGCATGAGGCACTAGCTCAAGGCGCCCTCATTGCTCGGGGTAGTTGGTTCAATGCCAACAAGCACATTCCGCTGAATGAGATTTTCTTCAGGACCACATTCGCTGCCGCACCCCTAGTTCAAA